ATCTGGAGCTGGTTGTGGATCACCTCATCCGTCTTGCTCTGCATGAGGAGGATTCCCAGAGCAGGTGAGGTACATCACGGAGTCACCCACACTCTGGGAAGAGGAACAAAGCCTGGCTTTGCAGCAGAGAGGGTCTGTAGTCTGAGGGAAAGCACAGGAACTCTCTGAACAAGACTACATTGAATAAACCAGACAATTAATGGGCTGGAAATAAGAAAGTCTTATCTTTCAAAGCCTGTCAAAGCAGGGGTTCTGCTCTGCCTACCTGAGGGGGGGAAAAAGGCAAGTTGCTGAGAAATGGGGTGGTGGAGACACCTTCTGGCCAGGCCTGTGCAGCTGGTGTACAAGCAGCCCTGGATTTGCAGTCCTTGCATCACCTTTTCCATTCTCTTTCCCCCTGGCAGTGAAGCAGCGATGGAGGTGGCTGGGTCCTTGGCCCCCACCTACCCAAAGGTTTTCTCTGGACACATGGTACCTAGGCTTGAAAAGGAGCTGCAGTCAGGTAGGGCTGGGAAAGGAGTGGTTTTGCGGTAAAGCCTTTCCCATCCCCATTGGGCTCCTGCCAGGCAGTGGGGCTGTGTTGTGTAGGTCGGTGGCTATCCTTGGGGGATTCCCAGTGCAGGCACTGTGCTGGCACAGGGAAGGCTGTGGTTGGTCTGGTAGCCAGCCTGTGTGGGGCCAGGACCACTCTTGTGGGAAGAAGCTGCCCAGCTGCAAAGCAGGCAGAGTGCCTTGAGCCTGGCATGGGCTGGGTCTGCTGTGCTGCTTCACCCCATCCACCCTGGCAGGGTCTGAGCCCTGACTGTCCTTGGGTGGGGTGTCCCCAGGTCCCCCTCTGAGGTGTGTTTCCTCTTCAGAGCAGGAGGAGAGCTACCACAACCGCCACTCCTTGCAGCAGCGCTGCCTGCAGGCCCTGGCAGCTGTGTCCACCCACACCAGCATCGTGAAGGAGACTGTCCCCATCCTGCTACAGCATCTCCAGAAGGTGCTGAAAGGTAATGGAGCTCCTGCAGGTAGCTCCACAGAGCAGTGTCTGGGCAGGAGCTTCCTCTGTTACTGCTGATGGCTGGGAGAGAGCTGGAATGGGAGTGGTACAAGGAATCCACACCTGGGCTGTGAATCCCACTGGTGGAGTGGGAGTCAGAAGAGCTGCATTGTCCCAGGATCCTGGTGCAGATCAGGGGGCTGGGTGTTGAGGTTGTTTGATTTGGTGGTGATTCTGCCCTGCAGGGACTGAGGCCAAGAACACCCAAGACATGATCTCTGTGTGCCAGAGCCTGCACCGCGTGGCCCTGCAGTGCCAACAGGATGCCGAGGGCTGCTGGTACTTCCACCAGACAGTGGTGCCGTGCCTGCTGGCCATGGCTGTGCAGGCAGCCATGCCAGGTAAGCGCAGGGCTGGAGTGGGAGAGGGGAGAACAGGCAGTGCCTGGGCTCTCGGGGATCCTTGATCCTGCAGTCAGTGCCGCTGCTGATGCCTTTTGGCATCCATGGCCCTCAAGAGTGGGATGCACTGCTGCCTGCCCAGAGCCCTGCTCCACTCTTGTGTGTATGTTCAGGGGGCTGTGCCTGCCTCCTCCTTCTGAACAGCAGGCTCCAGCAAGTTTCATTCCTCCCACTACCTGCAGAGAGCACCCATACACTGCCAGGCAAGGCACTGCTGGAGGAAGAGGTGCTGGCTGCCATGATCCCAGTCATCAGTGCTGCCACCACTCACCTGAGCCCTGAGTAAGTGAAGCTGGGGCAGGCAGCTGGGTGCTCCATCGTGGGGAGGGAGCAGGCTGCATGCCCCCTGCTACTATCTGTACAGGGTGACCCTGTGCCTCCTTGGAGGTCTCTGGTGACCTTTCCAGAGCAGCACATTACAATGTCTTTTCCTAGGCTGGCTGCCCAGAGTGTGTCTCATGTGGTGCCACTCTTTCTGGATGGAGATGTCTCCTTCCTACCCCAAAACAGTTTTCCCTGCTCCTTCCAGCCTTTCGGGGTATGTTTGGTGATTGGGGCTGGGGCACCAGAATGGGCCAGCAATGAGGATATTTGCACAGGCTGGTAGCAAGGAGTGCACTGCTGCCTGCCCTTGTCCCAGAGCCCTGCCCCACTCTGGTATATGTTCAGGGGGCTGTGCCTGCCTCCTCCTTCTGAACAGCAGGCTCCAGCAAGTTTCATTCCTCCCACTACCTGCAGAGAGTACCCATACACTGCCAGGCAAGGCACTACTGGAGGAAGAGGTGCTGGCTGCCATGATCCCAGTCATCAGTGCTGCCACCACTCACCTGAGCCCTGAGTAAGTGAAGCTGGGGCAGCAGCTGGGTGCTCCATCGTGGGGAGGGAGCAGGCTGCATGCCCCCTGCTACTATCTGTAGAGGTTGACCCTGTGCCTCCTTGGAGGTCTCTAGTGACCTTTCCAGAGCAGCACATTACAATGTCTTTTCCTAGGCTGGCTGCCCAGAGTGTGTCTCATGTGGTGCCACTCTTTCTGGATGGAGATGTCTCCTTCCTACCCCAAAACAGTTTTCCCTGCTCCTTCCAGCCTTTCGGGGTATGTTTGGTGATTGGGGCTGGGGCACCAGAATGGGCCAGCAATGAGGATATTTGCACAGGCTGGTAGCAAGGACTGTGATGACATGGACACCATTCTTCCCTTGCAGGATGGGGAATGCTTGGAGGCACAGAGACGCCTGGTTGCCCTCCTCATGGCCTTCGTCTGCTCCTTGCCCCGTGATGTACGTTGATGGGGAGCAGGATGGAGAGGAGCCTGCCCAAGCACCCTCCAGCCTCTGTCTGCACCAAGCTCCATGGACAGAGGGAGCAGCTGCAGCCCTGGGCCATAACGCGTTCTGTGTCTCTTCCAGGTGGCAATTCCTCAGCAGGAATGGCTGCTCCGGGAGCTGCTGGCATTGAGCTGTTCCTGCAACTGTCCGTTCACGGCCACCACAGCTGCCAAGTGCTTTGCAGGGCTGGTCAACAAGCACCCAGCAGGTAAGGGGGCTGGGGCAGATGCCAGGTGTCCCTGCCCACTGCTGACAGGAGGAATGGCTCAGCTTATCCCTTCCATTCCCAGGGCAGCAGCTGGATGAAATCCTGCAGCTTGCAGTGAACAGGATGGAGCCCAGCCTTGCGGAGGGGCCCCGCCGAACACAGGCACTCACCTTGCTGCTCTGGGTAAGGCCTGCCCTGGATGAGGGGGGCTGGGGGACCCAGACTGGCACTGACTGTTCTGCCTGCACAGGTGACCAAAGCCCTGGTGCTGCGCTACCACCCCCTGAGCTCTTGCCTGACGGACAAGGTAGGTGGTAGTGAGGCTGGATGGTGACTAAGAAACCTGACTTGCTCCCCCATGGCTGGCTGGGGACCTCCAGGAGCAAGGCATTCCGTCTCAGGGCTCTCTCCCTTGCAGCTGCTGGGCCTGCTGGGTGACACGGAGCTGGGCCCTGCCACAGCCGATGGCTTCTCCTTGCTCATGGCCGAGTCCCCGGACGTGCTGCACAAGGGCTGCCATGCTGACGTGCGCATCATGTTCCGCCAGCGCTTCTTCACTGACAACGTCCCCAAGCTGGTGCAAGGCTTCCACGGGGCTGGCCCCGGTGAGTGGCCACCCCCAGCCCAGCCTCACCACTCCTGACCCTTTAACCAGGGAACCTGAGCCAGCATCTCCTCCTTCTTCAGGCTGCTTGTAACCATCTCTGCTCTCCACAGATGTGAAGGCCAATTACCTGAAGGGCCTGTCGCATGTGCTCAATCACCTCCCCAAACCTGTGCTGGTGACAGAGCTACCCACGGTAAGAGCCAGCCTGGCTGGCAAGCAGGGTGAGCTGTGACATTGTGAAGTGCATGATTTAGGGTTACTCATTACTCCTGTGTTCTCTCTCTTGCAGCTGCTTTCCCTCCTGCTTGAGGCCTTGTCCTGCTCAGATCGTGTAGTACAGCTCTCCACACTGAGCTGCCTCCACCCACTGCTGCTCGAAGCTCCCCAGATCATGAGCCTGCATGTCGACACACTGGTCACCAAGTTCCTCAACCTCACCTCCAGCCCCACCATGGTGCGTGCACCCCCTCCTTCCTCCCTGCTATGCCCCTCTCTCGTGCCCCTTGTGCTGCCCTCATCCCTGTCTGTTCCAGGCTGTCCGCATCGCCGCCCTGCGCTGTGCCCACGCCCTTACCAGTCTGCCCACAACAGTGGTAAGTGCTTCTGCAGCACCCTGCTGCCTGCTCCTGCATGTAGAGGTGCAAGGGGCTCCCAAACCTCTTGGGGGGCAGCCAGCATCCATTTCTCTCACAAAGAGCCCCTTCTGTCCTACAGCTGCTCCCATACAAGGGCCGAGTTATCCGGGCACTGGCCAAGCCTTTGGATGACAAAAAGAGGCTGGTGCGGAAGGAAGCAGTGGCAGCACGTGGAGAATGGTGAGTGTGTGGAAGTAGCTGCTGAGGGGGTGCCAGTGTGTAGGGGACATGGCTGATGGCACCATCTCTGTCCCTGCAGGTTCCTGCTCGGGAGCCCAGGCAGGTGAGCACCCTGTGTCCCCTTTCTCCGCTGACCAACAGTCTGACCAGCGCCTTGCTAAGCCTCCAAGTCATCCAACCAAATGCCACGGACCCTCTGGATCCTGAGAGCCCAGCACTGCCCCGAGTGCTAGGGCTGGAGCGTGCAGGCCAGCAGACAGCACCCCTCACTGCAGTCCCTTCCCAGCACCCACAGCAGGGAAGGAGCTATTGCTGCTTGTGGCTTGCCCACCCTCTGCTGCAGCCAGGGACAGTGATGGACAGCCCCTGCCACATGTGAGGAGAGGACAGGTGTGTGCACACATGTGGTGTGTGACAACCCATGTACCAGAAGAATAAATATATCTGTTTTGATAATGCTCTGAGGGTCTCCATGCAGCTCAGTATGGAGGGTCCTCAGTGCTCTTCTGTATGTTCAGCAGCTTAAGACACTGCTGGTTATAGACCCTTCCTCCTCTATTAACATTGTTGTCCCTCTTCTCCCATCCCCAGAAGTCCATGTCCTCCACAAGACAACAAAAACAGACTCCCTTAAAAAAAAACAGTATTTAGTAGATGGTCTTAAAAAGACTCCCCAGGGAGCACGTGGGGGTGGCATCCTCTGCGCCCAGCCCTTCAGAGAGCTGAGCTGGGCCAATGCTGGCCCGTGCCTGTGCTCATGAGGGCAGCACCGTCCAGCTGGAGCAGGGAGCAGCAGCTCTGCCACCTCGCCCCTGGGCTGCCTGCAGCCACCAAGAGCCAAGAGGGCAGGTGTCCAGGCACCAGCACTGTCCAGTTTCCCGTAGCTCTGGCTCCAGTCAGTGATATGTGCCAGCCTTCTGCCAGGCACTTTGGCCGAAGGAAGCTGCAGTGGTGGAGTGGGTTCCCCATGCACTCCCCTGCCTGTGGAAGGGATGTCCAGAGCACAGGGCCTCAGATGGCCAGGAGTGGCGTGCGTTGCTCCGTCACACAGGGAGGCAGGTCCCAGCTCAGGCCTGTCCCGTGGGGCAGGTGAGGAGAGGGCAGCAGGACACGGGTGAGCCAGTGCCTGTGGGGAAAGTGAGGCCACGGCCAAAAGATGAAGTCTTGGTGCTTCTCAGCTCTGAGGAACCATATCCTGAGCTGCCACAATGGCTGAGCTCCTCAGCTCAGATTCCCTTGGCAAAGGTGTGCTGGGCAGGCCACCTTGTCACCAGACAGGGCTCCTCAGGCACAAGACCAATAATGTCCACGTCTTCCACACTTTACAAAGCCCAGTGCAGTGCAGTGTGGGATCAATGTTCACTGTTCTCCCCCAGCAGCCCAAGGAGAGCCCCTGTTGTCCCTACAACCCCAAGAGCTGCTGAGCCACCACCTTCTCAGGCAGGGGCTTCCCCAGGATTTTACCTTGGCACATCCACACCCAGGAACACCTTCCAGTTATCCCAGCTGCCGTAACTGTAGGGGTTCCTGAAGACCTGCAGGACAGGGAGAGGCACATCACGTCTGGCTCTGCCCCAGCCAGCCCCCGTGCCGTGGGCTATGCTCACCTTGCCTTTCTTCTGCAGTCTCTGCCTCTCCTTTCTGTTGATGTGCCGTTCGATGCTCGTTTCCCCACGGGTAATGAGGGCAGCGTGCCACAGCGTCAGGGCACCCAGGGCCAGTGCAACCGAGCTAGTTATGACAAGGGACAGCAGGTGGAACACAGGCCTTCCTTCCCTGGCACTGCAGCTGGCGGGGGCTGAGGCTGCCTCCCCGCACCCACAGCCGCGTAAGTGGGTCGGCTTGTCTAATCTCCTGTGACAGAGACAAAATCTCTCCTTCTCTGTGGCCCAAAGGCTGGCAGGGCAGCAACATCTGTGCTAGAGTGAGCAAGCCCAGCTACAGGCAGGTAGATGTTGAGTTATGTCACAGCTTGACTGTTTTCCCCAGCCCCTGGGCCCCCTCACCTGCACAGGACCCAGAGGTAGACCACGCTCTTGTGGAAAGCTCTCTGGCGGAAGGAGAAGGTGGGTGGTGGGGTCTGGTAATATGTCTGAAAAAGGACCAGATAGGGAGGATTACCCAAACTGCTTTACAGCTTGAAGGCAGACAGGGATCTCTGCACCCGTTCCTGCTGCAGAGCTTCGACAGCAAGAAAGGATTGCAGCTGGAACTAATGCAACAGCCAGGGCAAGGGGGAGGCAGTCTGGGACAGCCACGAGACAGACAGACAGACACCTAGAGCTGGCACATGTGTGAGGAACAGTGGGCTGGAGGTAAGGGGGCAGGGAGCAGCCATGGGCCTGGTCAGGACACTGCAGCTTGTGTCATGGAGAGATGTGTATGTAGTGCTGCAGTTTCACCAGGAGACCATGGCCTGAGAGCACATGCCAAGAAGCTGTCACCAACCCAAGCCCCTGGAAGCTGGGTGCAGAGAGGCAGACCCCAAGCTGCTGGAGGCACTGTCCATAGCAGAGCTGCCTGACCACCCCAGCTCTCTGACATGTGAGATGAACATGGGGGCTGGTTCTGATGTGGGGTGCTCCTTGAGAACAGAGCCCCAGGCAGGACCCAGCCTGCACGGCAGCTCTGCTCCACACTGCCTGGAGCAGCTGGGGGGCAGGGATGTCCCACCTGGTTGGCAGCCACCTGCAGTCTCTCCTTCTCAAGCAGTTTCATTCTCTAGGGGGATGGAAAACAGGGCACCAGTTATGTGTCTCAGAGGAGTGGGACAGGGACCCTTCCCCTCACACCCCCACAGGACCAGAGCAGCTGGGGGCCTTGCAGGAGGAGGAAGAGGGGAAGCGAAGTCATTAGAGGGCTGGGCCTGGCCCAGCCTTGCTCTGCAAGCTCAGCCTGGGGGAAGCCAGGCAGTCTTGGTGCACGGCAGGAGAGGCTGCTCACCTCAATGGCTGCGTAGGCATCCCGGAACATCTCCCAGCCGCTGATGCTGCAGTAAATGCAGCCCATGGTCATGAACAAGCAGAAAGAGAAGAAGTAGCGGTGGTTGTAGTGTCCCACACAGTTGTTTAGCCAGGCTGCCTCTGGGGTTAAAGGTACGTAACTGTGACAGACCATGGGTCCAAACCCAACCCAGTGGTGACCGGGGCAGTTCTGGGCCCTGCTCCCATCACCCATTCCTATGCTGGCTATCTCCTTGAGAGAAGGGACTGGGAGAGAAGGGGGAAGCAGTGCTAGATCCCCCCAGGAGTGTGCCACTGGTTAGTACTGCAGAAGGATACGGCAGTGATGGTCCATCTTCAGCACACACCTGGGAGAGAGGAGACCAGTGCCAGTGTCAGAGCCAGGGCAAGTGGAGGTGGCAGAGCAGAGGAGAAGGGCCCCTGTCTCACACTGGGGCAGGGGGTGAGGAACAGGGCGCCAAAGGCTGCTCCAGGCAGAGGGAGGGTGTCCTACCTGTTGCAGATGCTGCAGTGATGGGTGCGAGCTGGCTTAGGGGCAATGCATTTCCTGCAGATGGACACACCAGTGAGGTCGTTCTTGGCCTGTGCACGGGTCAGAAGAGATTTGCTCATCTTAAACCCTGTATCTCACACTCCTGCCCCCCTCTGCACTGCCCAGCCTAGCCTCCCCAGTTTAGAGGCATCCTGCAACCACATCACCAGGCTGTTCCCAGGGAGCAGTTGTAGCTCACTTGGTGCCTCACCTGTGGTGGGTGCCCAGGTGAAGTGGTGATAGCCATGTAGTAGTGGAAGACAATCATGATGAGGTTCCAGTGTCCATAGGCGAGGTGCCAGCATATCCAGGCAGGTGTGTAGGTCTGCAGGATGAGGGGCAGCAGGCAGATGTACACGATGGCCACAATAGAGCTCGTCAGCCCAATCACCAGTGCCACAAACACCTACAGGAGAGGGACCCGGGTCACTGGAGTGGGCAGCGCCTGCCCCTTGCTGCCTGGAAAGAGGCACGAGCAGGACAGAGCCAGAGGAAACCAATCTGAACCACACACAGGTCCCAGCTCACTTCCCGCCTGAAGCAGGCAGCCCTGAGCCCGTTGCCCCAGCACCACGCATACCCTGCCCCATGAGGGGGACTCACCACACCAAACCACCGGGTAACATGGTCCACCAGCCAGTAGACCGGCTCGAAGAGAGAGTCAAGCACCACATCGCCGTTGGTGAAGGAGTTGTAGAGCAGGGAGCGGAGGCAGAGGTGCCCGTAGTGCCACAGCTGCTCCACGTGCCGCACCAGCTTGAAGCGCCGCCGCCGGCCCAGCCGCAGGCACTTGAGGAGCAGGCGCATCACCGCGGCAAACATCCGCTGCCGGCTCCTCATCCCTGCCGCACCACGCCTGGGGGGACAGGAGCTCGGCGTGGGCAGGCCACCCTGCTGCCTGGCTGTCCCTCGGGAAGGGCTTCCCCTCCCCGACGCGCTGGTGGCGGTAGTGCAGCTCCCTGAGCTGACAAGGATGCCGAGCCGGAGAAGCTGAGCCCAGGCTCCTGGAGGCTGCGGGGCCGCTGTCGCCGGGATGTCTCTTTGCACGGAGCAGGGGGCACAGGCCCCTCAGCATCTGGGCTCAGGTGCTCTCTGGTCCCATCTCGTCTTTCCCAGCGGGGAGGGGGCCGGGGGAGTGACACGGAGCGTCTGACTCAGAGGAAACCAGAGAAGGCATGAACATCCAGGATGCTGGGCCATTTCCAGAGATGATTTCAGCCCTTCCCAACATGTTCATGAACAGGGGAGTCCACACAAGGAAAATGTGGAAGAGCCAATACAGGATTACCCCTCCTCCCCTAGTCCCTCCTTAAAGTGAAGGATGCTACTTCCCTTCACCTCAACTTCGGGCCCAAGTTGCAGAGGCCACCCTCCCAATCTCACAGCCTCACTCCAAGAGTCCCAACACTTCCTCTTTCTCCTGGCCTGGATCCTTGAACAGTGCCACACACCAGCAAACGAGAGGCCCAGGGACAGCCCCTGGCCAGTGCCCCCCGCCTGCTGAGCCCCTTGTCCTGCCTGAGAGCTTTGCTGGGAGTGATGAGGAACCTGATCTGGCCCAGCACATGGGAAAACGATCTGCAGGGCTGGGGCCCCCAGGTCTCCGTGCAGGCAATACCCATCAATATTAAGCAGCGAGGCTGCCCCAGGGTCCTGCCAAGGCACGTTCTGAGCCTGGGCCAAGCACTCGTCTTGGTCTGGTGCCAGGCACCGGTGCCAGAGCTGAGAGTCCCTCCAGCAGGGATCATCCCTCTGCGCTGCTGTGCCCACCAACACAGCCCCTGGGGAGCAGCAGGGAGGGTGAGGGCAGAAGCTGCAGCATCCAGATGGGCTGCCCAAAGGAGACAGGGCTCTCCCCCACCCTGCCTGAGGAGTGTGGGGTTGACCCCAGTGTTGGGATCTGCTGGATATGAGGACCCCAGACCCAGCAGCCCATTCCAGGTCACAGGCATGGCTCCTGCCCTGGTATGGCAGAGGTGGGATATGCAAAAGTCTGCATCACCCTTTTCTCCACATTTCCCCTTTGGTTTGCCAAGAGCTTTGCCTTGAAACTCAGCAGGTGCAAAGTGAAGCAACAACCTCCTGTGGTGCAGCCTTTGGGTGGCACACATCCCTGTGCTGTCAGTGTGGTAAAAGACAGAATACTGCAGCCAGAAGCAGGTGTTGAGGTCAGCCCTTTCCTCCAAAGACACAGCACCTTCCTGCTCCCTGGAGAAGCTTCCTCACCTACAATAGCAGCAGCTGTTGGGCAGGGAACCCACAGTGGAGGCAGTCAGCCTGCTCCAGAGCAAGACCCACTGTTCCCAGGCACCTGCCTGAACACAGCAGCACAATCACAGAGATGAGGCTCCAGTACAGCCACACAACTTTCCCCTGCCCAGCCAGGCACTGGGATCCAGCCCTCGCCCTCTATGGCCATCCCCACATCCCAGCGGGGCACCGAGCCCATGGAATGGGACAGCAACCACCAGCACAGACAAGAGCGCTGGCAACATCACAGCCGAGGGGCGCGGATCCTTGGATTTGGCCCCACCCCAGGCAAAGGCGAGGCCTCACGCTGCCGGGTCCAGGCAGCCAGGCGCAGCCCTGTGGCACCCTCCGGTGGCCCCGCGGCGCCCGGCTCCCCCGGCTCGGCAGCGCCCAGGCACTCTGCGGTATTCAGCCCCGTCCTCAAAGGCTGCCCACGCCGACAGCCCCACCGCACCCAGCCCCCTAACAGCCGGCTCTCCCTGCCCCGCAGCATCCCGGCCCCTGCAGACCAGCAGCGTTCCCCCCGCTGCCTCCCATCCCAAGCGCCCCATGGCGACAGACCCCGCTGCCTCCCGGCTCCGCGCAAGCCCCTCCTGCCCTCGGCACACGGAGCATCCCCCATCGCCTCCCGGCCCCCGCGCTTCCCGCCCCACGGCACCTCTGTATCGCCGCCCAGCCCCACGGCAGCCACAGCCCCTAGAAGCCCACAGCTCTCGCAAGGCCCCGACACCCCCGCCCGGCGCCGCCGACCTGAGCCCGCCGCCTCCATGCCCGGGCCCCGCCGGCCCCCGGGCAGCGCCCGCGCACGGCATGCCGGGAGCACGGTCTGCCGTCACCGGACTACAGCTCCCAGCATGCCTCACGTAGGGTAGACGAGAACCAATAGCCGCGACGCTTACAGAGCAGCATTGACGCCTGGAACCAATAGGATGAGGGCTTTCTGGTGATGCCCTGTCGGCAGCGGGCATGGCGCCTCCTGCACGTTACTGCGTCCCTGGTGAGTGCGGTTCGTGCGGCTCGGGGCTCCTGGGGCTGGGGCTGCCCGGAAAGGGAGCGCGGTGGCTTAGGAGAGGAGTAGGGTCGAGGCAGAGCTTGTCCCGGGATGCCCCGCACTAGGCCGGCTGGGAGCGAGCTCTGTGCCCGGGTCCCCGGCAGCCCCTGAGCCCCTGTGTCGCAGGCGAGCGGCTGTGCAGCACGGAGGAGGCCACGGCTGGGAGCGGGACCTACACTCGTCATGGCTTCATCTTCTCCTCGCTGGCTGGCTGCCTGGAGAGAAAGAATGAGGACAGCGAGGTGAGCGCGGCCGCGGCACGGCTGCTCCTCCCCAGGGCTGAGCGCCGTGCGCCCAGGCTGCACAGCCTCCCTGGAGAGCGGGCTGCGGCGGGGAATGGGACTCCGATGGGGTTCGGCTGGTGATCCTCTGCACGAGCTGTGCCCTGTGCTGACCCTCGTGTCTTGCCCTGCAGCTGCCCGTGGTGTCGGTGGTGAGAGACAGCGAGTCCCAGCTCCTGCCCAACGTGGGGGCTGTGGTGACATGCAAGGTGGGGCGCTGGAGCCCTGCATTGACAAACTGCATGGGCCTTGACTGTGTCTCATACTGAGATTTGTTCCTGCACACGGATGGGGTGGGGTGAGGAGTCCCTGCGCTTCTTAGTCCCCTCTGTACAACTCCCACCAGGGCAGGGGCAGCCCACAGGTTCCGTTGAGTCTCTCACTCACAAAGAAAGTGGGTATTGGCATGAGGGACACCTGCCCTGAGACGGAGGTGGGCTTGAGGGGAGGATGTTTTGCTCTCCTTCCATAACTCTTTCTGGGGCAGGGAACATGCAGGTCAGTGTCTCAAGCAGCTTGTAGAAAGGTTGACACAGACCAGGGATTAGTTTCCTTACGTTCCTGGTGGCAGGAGAGGGACTGGGGTCACTGCAGGTCTCAGCCTTATTCTGGTGCCTCGAATTGCACAAGTATCATCCTCCTCACCTGGCTTGCTGCCAGGTGTCCCACCATTGCTTGGTCACAGGGTGGAGGAGGCCAAGTGAGACCTGAGCTCCCCATGCAGCCCTGCCTGCTCCCTGCCCTTTCCCTGCCTGGACCACTGAGTTCCCTTTTCCTACGTGCAGGTCTGCAGTATTAACTCTCGCTTTGCCAAGGTCCACATCCTGTATGTTGGCTCCACACCGCTGAAATCCACCTTCCGAGGCACCATACGGTAGGGAAAAGGTTAGGATCCCCCACCCTTCGGGGGAGGAAGGCTGTTGTGGGCAGCCTGAGCCTGAGCTGGAGCGCTGCCCTGAGCACTGGGCTGCTGTCCAGCAGGTCCTGGTGAGCACCCAGGGAGGCCGGGACGGCTTCTGCCCCAGGCTGTTGAGTCGTCTTTGCTCATTGGCACTCAGATCCCTCCATCTCCTTTTTCAGGAGAGAAGACATCCGAGCCACGGAGAAGGATAAGGTCAGTGAGCCACTGCCAGTAACTGTTCTACACCCGTTGCCCCGTTTATGCTCGTGGGGGCCCTGTATCCCCACTGACAGCACGCTGGTGGCACTGCCTGCTCTCTCCTGTGCAGGTAGAAGTGTACAAGAGCTTCCGCCCCAGTGACATCGTCCTGGCCAAAGTTGTATCCTTCCCCCTCAGGGACAGTGGGTTGGCTCAAGCTCCCTCGTGGAAGTCTTTCCCTTAACCCCTGTCCAACCAGATCTCCCTGGGGGACGCGCAGTCCAACTACCTGCTGAGCACAGCAGAGAACGAGCTGGGCGTGGTGGTGGCACGCAGTGAGGCAGGTAGGGGCAGGACAGGGTCTGGGCTGAAACAGTGCTCATCCCTGCCTCAGGGGCAGCTGATGAAGCTGCCTCCCTCTCCGCATGGAGGAAAGCAAGTTTGGGAAGGAGCAGCCCTGACATATTGTGCCCCAGGGGTGCAGATGGTGCCCATCAGCTGGTGCGAGATGCAGTGCCCACGGACGCACACCAAGGAGTTCCGTAAGGTGGCCCGGGTGCAGCCCCAGTTCCTGCAGACGTAACACCTGAGGGGGCAGGGGGCTGCAGCTCTGGGGCCTGTGGAACCAGAGCAGCCCCTGGGCTCCCACCTCCTTCACAGGTTCAGCCAGGCCTCCACTGGCAGGACAGGTTTGCTGCTTTTGGATAATAAATTTTTTTTGAGAGCTTCCTGTTTTATTCTTTACAGTCAGTGGGGGAGCCAGGGCTATCTACAGCACTCTGGTCTGGCTCCTGCAGCACAGCAGGTGAGGGAGCAGCTTCTATTACACCAGGGGTAGAAGGAAGCACATTTTCACTCCTGATGAAGGGGAGTGATGGAGTGACTTTGCTGCAGTGATGCCAACAGCACAGAGCCCTGGGTTGCAGCTGTGCTGGGCACTCACCTCTCTGGGTTGGTTTCCCCACACAGGAGACAAGCCCGGAGCAGAGCGTGTCTCAGCACACCCCAGTGTGGGCTGTGGGTGAGAACAGCCTGGGGATGTATCTCCTCAGGCCACACGTGCATGCCCTGCCCTTTGGGACGAGGGTGTGGCACACACAGAGCCCAAAAACCAGAGCATGGCAGGGTATCACCCTCTTGGCAGAGATTGCAGAGCTGAGCTTTGCTCCCTGAGCCTGGCACAGCTTCTGCATGCTCATGTCTGTGCCCAGCAGTGACTGCTGCATGTGCACATGCTGGCAGCAGGGAGCCCACACGGCCCAGAGACACGTGGACACCTCCTTATTGCGCATTACTCCTTTATTGAACTGGAACAAGACAGCTGCTATGGTTGGACAGTTACACTGACCCCGTGCAAGCCCAGGCTCACGACACCGGCAGAGGGGAGGCCACAGCGACAGGCCACGTACACACACGTGAGGGATGGGACACAACAGCACCTGCTTCACCAGCAGGATGAGGATGTGCATCAGCTGGGGGAAGCACGTCGCAGACACAGACCTCCAGGCAACAGGCTCCCTCCCTCACCCTTGTCTGAAGGCAGTATAGTTAAAGCAGGGGCTGGCAGAGCTGGGCCAGAGTCGCGAGTACCACCCTGGGGTGCTGTACCACGTGCACAAAAACACAACCCTTCCAGTGGCATCCCAGTCACTGTGCCACGCACCCACGAGGGGATGGGGTACCCACTTTGGTCACTGCCGGCACTGCACTTGCCTCACTGCTCCCAGGAGGACTAAATCAAGTGACAAAACTACAGTAAACAGGTGACGAGAGCTGCCAGGGATGCAAAGCAAAGGAGGAGCCTGGCATGGCAAGGGATTGCTTGGCCTGTCCCTCTGCAGACAGGGTCTGAGGGTTGGGATCACAGCGTGGGCAGGTGTGGGGTCGCTGCCTGGCAGGGACAGGGCTCCCTTTCACACCAGACCTCCGTGTCCAGCCCTCGCCGCGGAGCCCCCAGGCTATCTGCAGAGGGGAGCCTGGTCTGAGGGAATGGGCCTAACCGTGGGGAGCGCCTCCAGCTCCACAGCTCCGAGTTCCTACAACTGTGGGGGTGTGAACAGAGGGGTGGGGGATGGCAGGGGGCTCTACTGTGTGCTCTGCTGCCTGCCCTCACTTCTTGGCCTTGCCCTGAGCAGCAACGGCCTCCATGGCCTTGCGCACGGTCTCCTCATCCCCCAGGAACTGCATGGGCTTGACAGGTTTCAGGTTCTTGTCCAGCTCGTAGACAATGGGGATGCCAGTGGGCAAGTTCAGCTCCATGATGGCCTCTTCTGACATGCCTGCAAACACAGCAGTGCCGTCACTCTTGGACCTTCCCTCAGTGGCAGCTGGGGAGGAAGGGGTCCCTGGGATGCCCCTGCAGGGGTGACCTACCTTCCAGGTGCTTGACAATCCCACGCAGGCTATTGCCGTGAGCTGCAATAAGGACTCGTTTGCCCTCTTTGATCTGTGGGACGATTTCCTCGTTCCAGAAAGGCAGAGCCCGGGCAATGGTGTCCTTCAAGCTCTCGCATGTTGGCAGCTGGTCCTCTGTCAGGTCGGCATAGCGGCGATCCTGGGAGAACGACCGTGCTCACACAGCAGCCCAGTGCCTCCCATCCAGTGTGGGAATATGGTGGCAAGATTTTGTCTCTCCCCCAGATTCTCTACCTGAGGACCCACTATATGTAAGCAAAGCCAGTCCTGGAAGCAAGAAATTGACTCTGAGGTTTGGGGCTGCAATGAGCCACTCATGAGCCATGAATGAGTCAGGGCCATGAGCCCTCCTGGGAAAAGTCATGCATTGCCTATCCAGGCAAAGAAACCAGATCAAACATCCATGAATGGATCATGGCACTAATGATTAACAGAGATATTGTGCCCTCTTCTTTGGATCTGCCTGCACAATGCCCAGCAGCTCCACAGAGAGAAGGCAGGATAAACTCAGCCTAAAGTCTACCAGCACCATGCACAACAGCCCCAGATAACGCAACAGAGACAGAGGAGACCTTACACAGACAGCCAGGCCACATTGCAGGTGACTTTTAAGAGACTCTTAGCAAGGCAGTCAAAGAGCAATGGGTCTTACCTTTGCAATAGTGCTGTAGAAGGGGTGGTCAGACTGCATGGGAGGCGGAGGGATGTCATAGGAGCGCCTCCAGATCTTGACCTGCGCCTCACCGTGCTTCGCTGCTGTCTCAGCCTTGTTCAAACCCGTGAGAGCCCCATAGTGCCT